CTCTAGTTTTGCCTATATTCCCTTACTTCCATACATTCTAGTTTTATATTTCATTTTTAAAATTACTTAAAATCAGATAAAGTTGCCTAAATATCTCATTTTAAGTTTTATTTAAATCAAATAAGGCAATAATTTCAGCTAGTAATTGTCATATCAGTCTGCATATTAACTTGACCTCAGATTCCTATATCAAAATACAAATTTGAATCACAAATATTTCAAAGTCAGCAGGTAAAATACATTCATTAGACACTCCTCAAAAATCTATGCTCCCTAATTTGGTCATTTGAATCATCAATTAAGCAAATCAAAAATCTGAAATGATCTTGATCTGTTTTACTCTTCCCATTGAATCATTGTAGTTTGTTTTTGTTTTGTTCATTTTTCCCTTTCTCGATTTCTCAAAATCTAACCTTCTGTACTCCATTCCTGCTGTATGGGTCAGGATCTAACTACAGCTGTCCTGAGTAACAGTCTCCTCTAAGACTCAAATTTCTCTAGTCTTTTACCTTTCCAGTGTATCTTTTAAATGCAGAATAAGGAGATAATATCTCACTTAAGGCCATGATTTAAACTCCTTTATCTGGTCATTCTCCACCCTTATTTCCTAGTGCCCCTCCCCCAAGTAGACTTGAGTGACGGAGTTCTCCATTACTCCACACTTCCTGACATCTTTATGCCTGTATGCCTCTCGTCTGTCTTTCTGCTAACTCACAATACAATTTCAAAATAAAACTCAAATGCCATCTGTACAGACATGCATGCCTTAAATTGGAGCCTTGTGGTGGAGTGGACTCTACTCTGGGTTGCTAACCACAAGGTCTGCATGGAATTCAACAGTCACTCCTTGGAAGAGAGAGGAGGCTTTCAGCTTTTGAAAGATTTACAGCCTTGGGAAGCCAAAGAAGTCTTCCCTGCTGGTCGGATTGCTATGAGTTGGAATTGACTTGATGGCAATGAGCTGCTTTATGGCTTAAATTAAGGAAAGTATAAATGTTTCTTCTAATTTTAAAACTATGTAAATAGATGAAACAGTAATAGAAGATTGTTAGAATTTTTGTCAGTCCAAGTGGAAGGAAGAGAATAGTTATCATAAACACATAAAGAGTGGTTCTGAAACTTGAGGCTATGTAAAAATCACTAGGGTGGGGCTGAGGACTAATAAAAATGCAAATTACCAGGCCTTATTCCTAGAAATTCAAATTGTGGTTACTTTTTGCTTTGAGAATCACTGGTCAGGGTAAAAGGAGACAACATGAAATGGCAGAGTAATGCCATGTAACAGTTCATATCAGTTAGCTACTGCCACAAAGATCTCTCTAACAAGACAACCCAAAATGTAGTAGCTTAAAATAACAACCAGGAAGATGTATTGTTTTCAGGACTATGCGTGTAGAAGGGCTCTGCTGATCTCAGCTGAATTCACTGCTGTTATCTGATGTCCTCGGGTAGGTCAACTGGTAGCTTGCTGGTCTAAGGTGGTCTCAGCTGGTCAACTTAATCTTACTCCCTTGCCTTTCTCATCCTCCACTCGGCTGCCCTGGGATTTTTTTTTTTTTTTTCCCATGGCAGAGTTAAGGTGTAACCCACAAGCTCTGAGAGGGGAGTCAGAACTGGCACACTACCAGTGCTATTGAATTCTATTGGCCAAACCAAGTCCCAAGTCAGCTGAAGTTTGGGGTAGGGGTGGGGGGAGTAGAGTTTACATTTTATGGGAAAAATAACCCTGGTGGTGCAGTGGTTAAGCACTTAGCCGCTAACCCAATAGCAGCTCAGAGAGAGAAAAATACGGCAGTGTGCTTCCATAAAAATGTGTCGTTTTAGAAATTCTGTGGGGCAGTTCTACTTTATCTGAGAGGGTTGCTATGAGCCGGAATTGATTCCACAGCATTGAGTTGCGGTCCGTATAGGAGGAAATGCATAGTGACAGGGTATGGGGCATGGTTAGAGAAAGAGGAATACTTTTTTTGCTACATGCCTGCCACAGGGTAATTTTCATCTTGCTTGAAACACTAAGAGGGTGGAATGGAGCTGTGTGGGGATGAGGCTGGGCTTAAACTGACATGCTTACTTCAAATTTAGGAAGTAGTGAGAAACCACCTGAAGGCTTTGGGCAGGGAAGAACCACCTTTGAAAGTCTGTTTGGGGGAAGACTAATCGAGCGTGTTAAGGTGAATAGGGAGAGAAAGCTGCAAATGGAAAGAGTCTCTTTCTTCTTCATCCAGGTGGATGTCAATGAGGGTTCGGAGATATAATGTGAGAGCCACAAGAGGAGGATCAATGGGATAATGGCCAGACACTTCCTCACATAAACGAAACAAAGGCCCCCTAATGGGATCTGAGGTGGGCAGAGGGGCAATCCTAAAGAGCTCCTTTAGGGTTTTCCATTGTTCCTTCAGGCCAAATTCAGATTCTCAACACATACTCGCAAGTTACACATTCGGAGTTTGCAGCAGGTGTGGTTACATGGTATTACAGCATTGTCAGGATGGGAGGGGCACAGACCCGGGAGGCTGGAGCCTACCACTCTACTGGGCGTGATGCTTTCTTTGTCCATGCCAAACTAGGAGTTTCTGAAAAGACAGAGCTTTAGCTTATCTAGTTCCCTTTCCCCTCAGAGATTGCTTACTTCCATACATTCTAGTTTTATATTTTATTTTAAAAATGACTTAAAATGAGATAAAGTTGCCTAAGTATCTCATTTTCAGTTTTGTTTAAATCAAATAATGTTGGTATTGACATGAAGACATTTGTATAGAGACCACATGACTTTTATTGAAAATTTAAAAGACAAACTCTAATACCTAATCATTTTATCCTGAAATAATTAAATGCAAAAGATATACATGTTAAATTGAAGCAAACCTGTAGGCCTTATACAATACACAAAATGGCATTATAAAACACTTTATATTGCTTTAATATAAATAATTAAAAACAATATTTCATTTTTGTAACTAGATAACAAAACAGTATCATGCATTCTTTTTTCTTTTTCTTTTTTTATTTTAATACAAGATGGGAAATAGTCTTATCCAAACTAGTTTAAAAATATTAAAAATTCTTACAGAGCATAAGAGAACACAACATTTACTTATATTACTTAAATGAAACTAATCAAGAATTTTAGAAACAGAGGTTATGATGGAGCCACCAAGAATAGAAATATTGTATAACATCAGCAACATGGGATTGTATATAAAGATACAAAATTATAAAAATGATACAATAATATTAAAAATATTTTCTGAAAATTTTGACTAGGTTTATTCTCTCAAAAAGAGAAAAACCACCAAGGCATAAATGAATCAAGTCACTAAATTTGAAATAATTTATTGCCTTGAAATTTGCTTTTTGATTTTTATGAAAGAGCCAATAACTCTTTTACGTGTGGTAGAATGAGCTTTCTGAATATAACTCTTCTACCCATGTTTCTGTACATCTGGCCAAATGATTGGGTGACACTATGCAAATGAGGTGTGCGTCACACTAATAGAGGGAAGTGGTTAGTTTTAGTCACCACCCACTGACTGAAAGGCACCATCTCCGAAGCAGCGGCAGAGGGCGAATCCCCTTCAAGATCCTGAGCAGACGTGGTGGAGGCCGCGGCTAAAGGCCCCTGAGGCGGAGGGAGGGAGGCCATGAGAGGGGACACAGAAACAGCCCCCAGACCAAGAAGGGGAGGATGAGGGGTGGGGTTGGCTTCCTGGCCCCCAGAGGCTGAGGCCAAGGGGCCATGTGGACGGGAGAGAGACTTGGATTTGGATGAGGGACCATGTGGACGAGGGACCATGTGGACGGGAGAGGGACTTGGACTTGGACAAGGGTGTGGACGGGAGAGAGACTTGGTTCTGGCTGACCAGAGGTGCTGCTGTGGACCAAAGCCTTTCTCCTTAAGGCTTTCTGATTCTGGCTTGTGGTCATCTTTTAACTCCTCTAATAAGCCCCCTTAATTATGAGTATCTTCTGTGAGTTCTCTGTTGCCTTTGCAAAGAATGATTAAACCCAGCATAAAAGGAAGCAAGTGTGGAAGGAGTGGTTGGTGTCAGGGGAAGGAAGTGGGGAGAGAGAATGCATGCTTGACTTCTGCTTCATGGCTAGAGCGAAGCTAGAGGAGGACAAATCAGGTCTTTGCACCACTTTTTTAAAGAAGCAGAGAACACTGCTTGATGGAAAACTGCAATGACTTCCAATTGTCATTACTACGCTGCCAAGTAGTCCTGCAAAATGGATGATCCCAAAGGATCGTTGTTCCACGGTTCATAATGTTATCAGTCAGCTGGATGACTGCGGTTGCTTCTCTCATATGTATTTTTCTTGCATATAACATTGATAGTTTGTCCAAGTTTCTCTCCTAGTAATGCTTTTTAAAAAATCAGAAATAGTTTAAGGAAACAGAGCCTGAAGGAGAAAACCATAGAGAAATGTATTTCACAAAGAAATACAGGTTTCTTTCAGAAGCGGTGTTTATTCTCATGAATCAGGGATAGTGTTGCACAGTCCAGATTAAGCAGCTACTAGGCTGACCATGGATATAAACAAGCTATGTACAATGATATTCATAATTCCTCTTTAATTTCTCATATACTTCAAAGTGTATCTTTATAGAAACTGGAACAGGGTAGACATGGTAAGCACACTTCGGTTAATTAACAAATATTAAATCACACGGATTAACAGAGTATAGAATTGAAGATCTAAAACCTTTTTTAAAGTAAAGAAGTATATTTAAGTGAACATATGGAAGAAGACACTACAAAATTACCTGTTCCAGTTTACTACGGTTTACTTCAGTTTAACACACACAAAAATACTGCTTCCTGTGTAGTACAAAGGAAATATTAAATGCATGTATATAAAAAACCCCTTAGTGATATATTTCACATTCTTTAAACTTTTCTCAGGTTATAAATATATTTATATATCAGTCAGTCAGTTTTTACAATAAATGAAAACTGCAACATAGGGTGAGGGGAACAGGTCATTTAAAATTTTTTTATACCTCAGTCATCCCAACTTAGGTCCATTTTTTGGAAATGTGTAAGAGATAATAAAGTGTGCTTGTTACCTCTCACTGTTATTCTTTGTGCACTAGAAAATTCATCATGGCTTACCCAAACAGAGTTAAATTTCCAGATGGGCTAACTGATGTAAACTGTTGAATATGATCATGAAATTAGGCTTCTGAAAGCCATTTATAATTTCCTGACGCAGGGAGCACTGTCATCCTTCCTGAATATCTATTAAAACTGTACACTGGTAGAAGTTCATCTGTTAGTAGGTTTGCATAGACATAACATTTCCCCTCATCTTCTCCGAAGGACTACGAAAGGCCTGTTTTCGTTCTTCATGTATATCTTTTTTTCCCTCCATCGTGCTTTTCCTCCTTCCTCGGTTTTACATGAAAGAAACCACATTTATCATCTGGCTGCCATAGTTCCAAAATAAGATCCAGTAGTAGTTTGAAGCACAGCGCGCTGAGCAGTTTCTTCCCCTCTCGAACACGATGGGAGTGGCCTTCTCTATGTCCACACCACAAGCACACAGGGACCCCACAGAGAGACTTCTGTGAACACACAAGAAAGCCCCAAATCCACAGTCAGGAACCTTGATGATTTCACGTAACTACCACTTGCTGCTGGAAAGGAGACAATAGAGTTTACTCCAGGGATTTTCAAGCAGTTTCTCATTTGGTGGCTTTCCCAGATTTCTCTGTTGTCTTCCTAATTGCTTCTGACAATGTGCTCTCCAAAGTCCAATGGCCGGATCATCATCGTTGTGGAACGTAAGGAGTAACTGGGCCCTTTGAAGTAGTGCCACTTTATCCCATTCAGTTTTCCATGGTTCTGTCCAGCAGTATAGAACATTCCATTTAGATTGGAGGGGCCACACGCATCAAACCACCAACCTAAAATGATAGTTACAAATGAAAAAGAGAAGAAACAAAGATAAGTCAATTAAACTTTCGGGAACTGATACATTAACCGAAAGGGAAATTGTCCACATTTGTTAACTTGTTATGCTTATGTTCACACGGAGAGACATTCAATGAATGTCTTCTCAGGCGTGGAATCATTTTAAATGATCAGGCAATGCAAATAAGTATAGAGGCATGCCCATGGCCTTCACTATGACTCCAGTCCGACTCATTTCCACTGTAAGGATGGGTAGCCCCTGGGCATCAAGAGAGGGCTACATCAGGCCTGGCTTTACAAGTCCCCAAACTAAAACTAAACTCACTGCCACCAAGTGGATTCCAACACACAGTTTCCAAAATGTTGTGAATCTTTATTCTCCCTAAGAGCAGATGGTGGGTTTGAACCACCCACTTTGTGGTTAGCAGTCCAATGCTTACCCGACAATACCACCAGGGTACACAGGCCAGGAAAAATACAGATACCTTCAGAGACCTCCATTCTAAGCGTGGAGCACAGTTTTTACTTGGAACAGAGTAATTAATTAAACAATACATTTTACTTGGGACAGAATAATTACTAGTAAAGATGTTCAGAAGCTTAACCTGTTGAGATGCAACGGGATCTCTTACATTCACGTTATTCTTTTACCAAGCTCTTCCTCAACTCTTCCTGAAATTAACTAGATACTGGCAAAGCAGAGTGACATCCAGACTGAGTTTGACTTAGTATGGCCTCCCTCGGGTTTCTAACAATATAGGGAGCGCTTATCAATAATGGTTCCTGATTTAGGAGGTATTCAAGTTATGATGAATGGACTTACTACCATCCTTTATTTTATTTATTTCATTACGACATACTGTCAGTAATGTGTACCACATACACAGTTGCAGCATAGGACTTACTGATGATATCATTCAGCCTGCATTTGAAGATGTTCCTTTTTACAAATTACTGTGCAAAGTATTGCTGTACAGATTTTGTTTTCTAAACTACATCAAAGGTTTCAGTTGCTTGAAAACATGAACCTCAGAACTGTTGGTAGGCAGAACAAAATACTATGAAATAGATGAAGAAAATAAAGGATCATATGTGCAAGGGTCACTAATTTTCTGACCTGAAACTTGAGCCCTGTTCCAGTTATAATCCAGATGATACAAAACTTTTCACTAGGGAAGTTATTGCCGCGACTGACCAAAGGCCAGTGCCGTTTCAGTGTTCTCCCTCGCTAGACTACCATTTGTTTTGTACCTTCGTATGTGTGTAAGTATTAAAACAAATCCATAGATTTATATTTCCAACCTCCAAAGACGAATGAAGATCAGCTCTATAAAGACACTAAAAATAAAAGGAAGTGACAATGAAAATATTTTTAAGAGGTATTCAATTTATGTCAAGATCGATTAGGACAGAATAGTTGGAATAGACCCCTAACTTGGGACGACTTTGTAACACTATACAGCAGGACTTGTCTGTGGTTGTTCCAGTGTTATCTGAAGGTAGGAAAAAAACAAAAAACAAAAAGAGTTTGTGATGATGCGCACGTGAATCCGATGCTTACACAGTTCTCTGTACGGTATCAGTAATTTTTTAAAAAGTTTTTTAATGAATCAAATTCCTAGGTTTTCAGATAAAACAGTACTTTTTCTTCCCTCCTGAAGTAACATGACTGCAATCTTCAGGGAAAGATTTATGCCAGAGACATTCTGGCATACTTTTATTTGGATACAATTGACCTCCCTTTGCTTACAGACATATACCTAAGAGACTAATAGCTAAACAAAGAGAAAGCTGCACAGCTGATGTTTAGCTGTAACATGAGCATTATCTTGCAGAAATTTTTAGCAAAAGCTAAATGGGGGAAATCTAGTCTTCATTTTTCAATTCTGGAAGATGAATCCAGCCAGGCTGTGTTTATAAAGTCAAGCTAGAGAAATAGCAGACTGCAGTAATCACCAATTTATACTGGAGAACAGTGAGCTAGGTCTCAATACATTTAGAAAGACACCCATTTAATGCTGTTTTACCAACAGGATGCAAACTGTATAAATGTTAACATAATCAAAGGGAGGGGGACAAGAAGGTTATTTTTTCATAACATGAAGGAGACACTGTAAAATTCTGTTTTCTCTTAAGAATAATCCTTTTAATTTTTGATAAGTACAACTAGAAAAAATAAGTTACTTGTATTACAAAAGTCATTCTAATATCAAGGAAATCATTGAACCAGAAGACTTCTAATGGACAAAATAAACAAACTTTATTGCTTCAGTGTTTTAATTTTCCATTTCTTTTTCTATGAACTTCTTCAAGGCACTTTTCCATTTTATATAATAAATCATTTTATTGGGGCTCGTACAACTCTTATCACAATCATATATCCACCCATTGTTTCAAGCACATTTGTACGTTTGTTGCCATCATCATTCTCAAAACATTTTCTCTCTACTTGAGCCCTTGATATCAGCTCCTCCTTTTTCCCCTCCCTCCCGCACGAACCCTTGATAATTTACAAAGTATTATTATTTTTTCATATCTTACACTGTCCAGTGTCTCCCTTCACCCACTTTTCTGTTGTCCTCAGGGAAGGGTAATATGTAGATCATTGTGATCAGTTCCCTCTTTCTCCCCCACCTTCCCCTTACCCTCCTGGTATCTCTACACTCACTATTGGTCCTGAGAGGTTTATCTGTTCTGGATTATCTGTGTTCCCAGTTCTTATCTATACCAGTGTATATCCTCTGGTCTAGCCAGATTTGTATGGTGCAATTGGGATAATGACAGTAGGGGCAGGGGGGAGCATTAAAGAACTAGAGGTAAGTTGTATGTTTGATCATTCCTATACTGCACCCTGACTGGCTTGTCTCCTCCCTGCAACCCTTCTGTTAGGGGATGTCCAGTTGCCTACAGATGGGCTTTGGGTCTCCACTCCGCACTCACCCTCTTTCACGTTGATATGATTTTTTTGTTCTTTGATGCCTAATATCTGATCCTATCAACACCTCGTGATCACACAAGTTGGTGTGCTTCTTCCCTGTGGGCTTTGTTGCTTCTCAGCTAGATGGCCATTTGTTTATCTTTAAGCCTTTAAGACCCCAGATGCTATATTTTTTGATAGCCAGGCACCATCAGTTTTCTTCACCACATTTGCTTATGCACCCGCATTGTCTTCAGCGATAGTGTTGGGAAGGTAAGCATCATGGAATGCCAGTTTAATAGAATGAAGTGTTCTTGCATTGAGGGAGTACTTGAGTGGAGGCCCAATGTCCATCTGCTACCTTGAAACTTTGGCTCCAGTTTTTGAAACACACACTCAGCTCTATTGCTGAGAACTGCTAGGATTCATAAAAGGTTCGTCCAAGGAGCATTAGGGTACTTATGGTAAAAATGTGTGCTCTTGTTTATTTGAAAGCAATGGAAGTCTGGGGAAATTGTGGGAAGGCAGCTTTTGTAACAAGGACGTGTTAATTAAGGGCTTTGGCTGATGGATACAGTCATTGGGGAGAGACAGTGGGTGCCTGTGAAGACTCGAATACATTTATTTTGTGTTTCTTGTTAATGAACAAAAGTGGTATAACATTTTTGGTAAAGAGAAGGTGTTTGGAGCCTTGAAAGAAGACCGATATGGCAGGTTTACAATAAACAAGGAAAGGAGGGCTGTTATCATTTGCTACCAGTCAACTCAGACCAATGGGGACACCAGGTGAGCCAAGTGGAACCAAATTCCATAGGACGTTCAAAGCCAAGACTTTTGGAAGCAAATGGCCTCCTCTCAAGGCATTTTTGGTAGTATCAAACCTCTACCATTATTATTGGTTGAGTGCTTAACAATTTGTAGCTCTCATGGACTCTTCACTGAGCAATGCGGTCACCTGGAACTGAGAGGGTCAAAGACTAAAAATTCATGGTGCTCCTTCATTATCCTAAGAGGGATAGAATGCTGTGGTTTATTTTCCATCCGTCTCTCTGAGTTAGCACTGTACCTAACAGAGTCTGCTTCCCAAACGACTGGCGAGCGATGCCAGATTTCTCACGGAATGACTGACTGACTGACTGACTGACTGACTGACTGCAGTTCCTCAGGGTGTCTCTCACATCTGAAGTAACTTCGTTCATAAAAAATGTGCTGGTTAGCCTCCCCACTATAGAACATCTGAGCTAATTGTGCAAATATTTTTATTTTAAAAAATTAGTTTTATTAGTCATTAATTGTCATTATAAAGTGCTTTGAGACAGGTCCAGTAGTGAACTAGGCTAGAGGAAGCAGTAGCAGGAAGGAGGTGGGAGAGTAAACAAAGAAGTAAATAAATAGGGAAAAAAAACGTAGCCAAAGGAAAAATAATCAGAGTGTTATGAAGGAGGAAAAACAGAAAACCTACTTGGGTTTTGGTGTGCATGGTAGAAGGTGATATTTAATAAGACCAGAAGGATGAGAGAGAGGGGGATTTGGGGGAAAGAGTCTTCTGCCCAGAGTACTGCCCTGGCAATGCCCCGAAGCAGCAAAGGCTTCATGGATTTAGAGACTAGAAGACGGCAGTGTAGCTGGTAGATGGTGAGCAAGGGGGGAGATTGCAGGAAATGAAGGTGGAGAAGGAGGCCCTGAATATTTGTGGAAGATCCCTACTCCAGCCAGCTGCCTTGTCCATCATCACGTGAACAAGGAAAACATTCACTGGACAAGGAAACCAATATTTAACCAGGGGAACCAGATCTGCCTGGCTAAATGTTTAATCAGGCGTTATTTTGAGCTCTCAGCCTATAAATTTGGTCTGCCAAAGCATATTTTGAGCATGATGAAGGGAGAAAATTGAATCCATAAGCAATTCGACAAGTATTAACCAAAGGCCAGACAGAGGCAGATTTGAGTAAAATGAATCCCTAACTTTAAGAATTCCCCAGCTTCCTAAAGGAGAGAGATACACAAATGCTTCATAAGATGTTAACAGGTGAAGCAGAGACATGGAAACCTGTGGAAGAGAGGCAGAAGCTACAC